GAAATCACATCACATGCTGGGACACTACAACTGTTGATTAAAACACAGCAGCTGTTCTGCTTCATTCTTTAGTCAGGAAACAGTATAAGGCTGCAAGAACTTTGTGTCTGGATCCAAAACTCATTTTAGAAATGAGTCATATCTGTCCCTTGACCTGCAAGTCCATAAGAAGATGACATTTATCCCTTCTGTCTCAGGAAGTTAACTGACTTAATTTTCTTTTGCCCCTTTTGTACCCCTGGGATGATCCTTTGGTGTCCCAGAGAGCTGTCCTTTTCGGGAATTTTCTCATCTTCTCTTTTTTTTGTGTTTTTTTCTTCCATACGTAGACACATGCACACTCAAAATGTTTCTGCTATAGTTACCTGAGTCTTGTAGCTCAGGTTACATTTCTGTTACCAGAGAAACACGAAAGATGAGAGATTCAGCTTAGGGGACTTTGTGCAGCCTGCCAAAATTCAATGTACCAGCAACAGAGCAGCATAGCAGGAGGAGTCAACAATGGCTGCAAGACTTGAGAGACTGTGTCACAGGTGAACATTACCTGTAAATCTTACAAGTGGTCCCAGCTGGAGGCCAGCTCTGAAATCTCAACTACTGGTCTCCTTTTGAGGCAGGACTTCATGGTTCCATATCACATTCAGCTTGGATTTCATATTTCTAGGAAAAGCAATGTGTCAAATTGCAGCATCCAGACATATTATTTTCTACTCCTCTCTATGAGCATTCAGTCTCTGTTCCAGATCTGAGATCCCCCTTAAAGAGTTCTTTGTGGCTCTTGAGATGATGGAGATATATTTTTTATTTTACCAGAGTCCTCTAAGTCATCATTTGAATGCATTCTTAGATCTACCTGATAACCACAAATTTGTCACTGGCTACAGACATATTGGTGAGAAATACTGAACACATACATAGGTTTATATCTGTGTGAGGTCATTATATCTGATAGATTCTGTTTGAGGCACTTCAGGCACCTGTGTAATCAGACTGTGAGATAATGCACAGGAAAAAGCAGCAGCACAATGACACAGCCAGACTGAACTGTGGCATTTCCTGGTGTTTAGTGGTTAATGTCAGCCTTTGTATTTGATTTCCCTTGGATTTGTTTGTTTGTGATTTTCTGTTGAGGATAACCTTTCAAAAGCCTCATCCCTTCTGCTTTGAAGCTATGCTGCTTAGACAATAATTACACAGACACCATGAAACGTTGTTGGTGCTTGACTCTACATTAGTCCAATTCTATCACTTTATTCTACTTCCCCGTGACCAAGCTGCCTTTAAAGTAATAGATAAGTGAATTGTGAAGAGCATCTTTCATTACTCCCTGGACTGGCCTATTTTTTTTTTTTTAGTTATATCCTATCTAGTTTGTAATTGGTTTCAAATTCAGGGAGCTTGGTTTATACTATGCAAGCACAGACTATTTCTTTCAAAATAGAAGCTTTTTTTCACACTTAATTACATGCTTTCCAAATGCTCAGACCTTAATCAATTAAAATCAGTTTGCAAAAAAATATGGTGCCCTGCAGTCCAGGAAGGGCTATTTCTATATTCGTTCCAATCTTTAATTTTAATTTTTCCTCTTTCTGAAAATGAGGCACCTTTTGCACTGTAAATTTGTGGGCTTTACTCTATCCAGTACCATTAGCTGAGCAAATGTTCCTAAATCCTTTCAAAGGCAATTGTCTTTCCATGGAAAACTTCATAATATTTTAGAAAGTTTTTCTATTAATAGCAACTAATGGGGAGTATTTTTGGCTCTGTTTTGTTTTTCTTCTATAGATCATATTTTCACTTGCTGACTCTCCCCAGCTAAGAGGCAGATTTTCCCTCTTTGGGGAAGGGAATGGCTTTGTTTCCTGGCTGTCTGACCCCTTTCCCCTGAGAGTGTACTACTACTTGGAGATAATCACCACCTCAGTGTGCCCAGGTCTGTCCTGAGGGGTAGGAAGGGACAGCTTCAAACACCCTAAAATCTGCAGACATTTGCATGTTTCATCAGGCAACAAGGTCTGTTCCATTTCATCTGGTCCTGAAACTTACATCACCTTGAGAGCAGCATAAGGAGTCAAAACAAAACAGAAACCAAAGGAAAATAACAAAACAAACAAACAAACAAACAAACAAAAAATAAAAAGAAGCAGACACTTCCCCCCTCCCAAAAAAAAAAAAATAAAAAGAAGACAAAGGAGTGAGAAAAAGATTTAACATTCCAAGAAGTTCTTCTTAAAGCAAATACATTTGTACTATCAACTATCAGACAGCTTGAGCACATCTCTTTTTCCTGTAACCAAACTGGATAAATACTAATAAAGATGATGTAACACTGCCATGGTTTTGCACATAAAATCTTCGAGTTTGTTTTCTCACTTCTTCCTCTCAGAATAATCCTCCCTCAATCCACGGCCCTGTCCAATGCTATGCAAAATGAAAGGTACTTACACCAGTTTAGGGGTATCTTGATTTGATTTGTGGATGATTTTTGACACAAAAAAACCTTTACAGAAAATGAAAGCATTGTACTGCAAAGGTTGCATTTATTTTGAAGCAAGCACTTGCAATTTCACTAAGCCCTCTGAAAATGTGCCTTAATTACACAACACCTGAACATTTGTAGATATTAGTGTTTCCTCATAAGTTATCTATCAAATAAACCATCTTTTCCCAGGTTTCACTTTCAATTCATGTAACCAAAGAATGCTTTAATCAATTCTGGTATTTTCCAGTCAGTTCTACAGCACAACGAAACAATGAATTATCAATATTTGGATGAATTCTCAAATATTCTGGTACTAAATTCTGTGTTCAAAATTACTTCAAAATTACAAAATAACTACTTACCATACTTGTTAAAATTAAAAACTAATTGTAAATAACATAAACCAGGGGACATACCACTATTATACTTCCATGAAAGATGAACAATGCATAGTTAGATCCAGTTGAATGAATCAAGACAAGAGGGGGGGAAAAAAAAATATTTCTGAGGAGTGGAAGCATTTAATCTGCTCTTGCAAATTATTATATGCTTGCATGAGATCTGTCTTCCCAAATTTTCTCAATGTGAAAAGTCCAGAAATATAAAAGGCAATGCAATGTCTGGATCACGTTACCTTTTGTTTAGGGGCATTGGTCCTGAATCCACTTCAATCTGACCTGATAAACAAATCCCCTAGAAATAAATCCACAAAAACCCTTGTTCCCTATACCAGCATTCAGAAAGGAGGCTTTAAGAGAGAAAATGCTGCTTTTAAGACTAGCATCAGTCAATCAAGGACGTGTTGAAAATTTGATTTAAAAGGAGGTGATATTTTCAATTGGCTGTCTTGGTAAGTTTGATCACATAATTTTTCTGCATGTGTGGGTGTATTTCTGCACTTTTCTTAACAGCGTATTTTCTTTACAAATATTTTACTGCTGAGAGATTCTACTCATGAAAGTAACATAGAAATACCCAGAAAGAAATATGTAAATTTTTGCTTCTTTTAAAAAAAGCTTGCTAAACTGAAAAGTAAAAAATGGTCCTATTTTTAATATAAGGCTTCCATTAAAAGACGTCTTTAAATTTTTCTACTTCTGGAACAGATCACTATTCACATGAGTATCTGGAAACTGCATGCCCAGTTGCAAAATTCTGCCTGGAGAAGAGAGGGTTACTAAAAAATTAATAAAAATAATTTATGAAAAAGCAATAAGAATGCCTGGCCTAACAACAATCAGTGAGACATGATTACATCACAAAATAAAAGTCTTGAAATATTAGAAAGCAATAACAGCAAATCTCAGAGCAATGGTATGCAATATCTTCATTCAAAAGGGGAAAATAGCATCATTCTGCAATATATTAAATGAGATTTTTAATAAGCATATATTTTAATTTGTTCTTTCCCATTAAAGATAAATTAATAGATGCTAATATATTTGTGGCTATTCTCTACAGTTGTGAAAGAAGCCATTTCTACCATAAAGATATGCTTTTCTTTCTGTAATGTTCTCGATTATCATCTTCTGAAGGTTTTTTGGAAAAGCAATACTTTGAACTGGCAAACTTGATAAATTAACTTCTTTCCAATCACTTTGTAAATCAATCTGATGGAATTATATAATTAGATTTTAAAAAGATATTCAATGTGTGATATTCAATAATTCAAGAAAGAAGTCAACATAGGATTGGATAAACTAATTCTAATAAACGAGAGTTCCTCAAATAAGCGCACAATCAGAACAAATTTAAGATTCCTCCTAGCAAAGAAGCTAAATTAAAGAGGTTGAATTCATAATCTTCATTATTACTTGAAATGTCAGTCCTGTTTTAGAGAGACTAACATCAAAACATGATAAAACAAAGCTTTATAAATAAAAGAACATAAGACTATTTACTGATTAATCAATTGATAAGTTATCAATATAAATAATTTTCTTCATTATTTGATTGCAACATATACATAATGTTTACTACAAAATACCTTTAGGCTGAAAAAAAAGCGAGAGTGATGAGACATACCTTACCTAACTGTTAAATTTGTATTTTCTTAAGACTAGCAATCTTTTCTTTAGCAAGAAATTAGTATTTGTACACAAAGAATTTTGCAACAAGTCCTGAGAACAAGTGACTTCATTTTTATCCCACGTACAGCAGTGCTACAATCTCATTTATCCATGGGGGAGTGGCAACCAGAAATCAGGCGGCTGCAGTACCAGATGAGCAGAGCTTCTAAACACAGTTGCTCTTTACCATCCAATTAATTCTACTGACTGATGCTGACACTGCTGGCATTCTCATAGTTAGCAGCTGTTTAAACTGCTTGCCAAAATTGGGTCCTGAACCTGCTGAAATCTGCATTTAAGCAGGATTCAGTGCAAAGGTAATTGTTTCTGTACAGGTGCATGTATCTGCCTTGTTTTGATTGGATATTTTTTGCATTTGCTTATTTTCCCACTTGAAAATTCATATGGCAAGTTTGTAAGAACTCTTTCTGATCGTGTTTCCTAGGTACACATAGATATAAATCTTCATGCTGCAAATTCAGAATGCAACAACCAAGCTCTGATTATTCTCCAGACCTGGTCAAAGAAACCTGCACCAGTGTGGAACCTCCAGACAGAGAAGCTGATCTCCATGAGGAAAATCCTGCTTTGTCTAAAAGCAGCAGCTCAGATGTCTTCAGTTCCTCTGAAAAGCAGGCAGTACCAGTTTGTGTGGACACCACCGTGCCTCCAGAGGACTACATTCTCAGACGAGGTTACACAGAGCCTTCACTTCTGAGGCTTCCTACAGAGGAGTGCATTGGGTTCCACCATGCGCCTATACAGTTCGACCGTCATGCTCGTGCCAGAATTTCCACTTCTCCAACTTTAAGGCGTCTAAGGATGGCCTCTGCCTCACAAGCACTGTCATTTCAGGACTGTTCTGACACAGGTCGGCTGGGGAATCAGAAGGAATACATTGGCTCTCTCCATCACATTTGTAAGAGCCCACCTCGGTGCATTACAGTTTCTTCACTGTCACTGCCTTCTTGTGTCCATGCAAAATTATTGTCGTCCAAAGCCAAGTCTGAGAGAACTATAGCAGCTCCAGAGTCTGACCTACCCAGGTCAAAGCTTCCAAGCCAAGAGGATCCTCTCAGCAATGGCAGTCCCAATGCGCCACCCAGAAACTCTTGGAGAGCCAACTCTGCTACACTTCCTACGAGACTGCCCCGCCCAAGCCCTGCACTTTGGGTAGGTGTCCAGGTAAGAGGAATAGGAGGATGCAACCTCTTTTTCCATCTTTCATTTTCAGTGTTGGTCCATCATGGGCCAGTGCACAAATAAAACCGAAGTTCTTAACCTGAACTACAAGTTGGACCTTGATCCTTTAATACAGCAGACCAAATTCTACACTTAATGGGAAAGGAGATTTTTCTTCTCAAATCAGCAATAGACATCAGTTCCGGCCTTGTTCCTTGGTGACCAGGTTAGCTTAGTCCACTCCTGTACATGGCTACTCTTTCCCCCCTCTGTCCATTCACCAGTACAACTGTTGGTGGGGATATGGAACAGCAAGATGAAGTAATTTATCCTGTTTAGGACTGCATTTTAGAAGACTATTTTCTTTCAACCCACTCTTTAACCCTTCAGCAGTATTATTCCTAAAACAGGGAAGTTCTCTATTCTGTTTTACTGAATGGCTTTAATAACCATAATAAAACCAAGAGTCAAGTTGGTTGAGTCAAACTTAAGGTCTGCTACTACCAAAGGAAGAGGTACCATTCCCTTTATTTATTTCCACTTACCTAGCTCACTGGCACTTCTTCCTTTTTATGTCCAGCTCCATAAACAAAGAAGCAATTTTGCAATCTCTTCTGAAAAGAAAGGAACCTTGGTCCAGTGAGCGTCAGCATCAGTAAAGAGAAATAAGCAAGGGAGGAGCAAACCCTGCATCTTTCAAGGGCAGGAAACTACAATTCAGCTCTCCCCAAGGACAAAAGGAGAGGCTTTTTGTACAAGCCAGGTTTGCTACCAGATCTGCTCTCAAAGACCTCCCACTGTTAACGGCAGAGGCGGTGGAATTCACACACACATTTGACTCTGTCCTTATGCAAACCGCCTACGCACACATTTACTGAGGGTGGATGGTGGCAAATAGGTGTGGAGTTCTTCACTAACTGGTTAGCTTTGCACTACAAAACAAAAGCTATTTTCCTCCTCCCTTCAAATATAGGAAACATTCTGGATATCAAATGAGTTCTCCTTGTTCCTCGACTGTGAAATTAATTAGCCCATGCCCAAGCCTATTACACTATTATTCCTACATTTTTAATGAATTTGCTTCACTCCAAGACAAAACCGGACATTGAGTCATGTACATATAACTCAACCTTAATTTGTAGATTTTCTATGTGAAATGCCTGTCACCAGCTCACTAAACTTTTTAATGAGATTTTCTTTCAAAGGTGGCCCTCCCCCTAGCACATTTAGCTACATTTCACGCAATATTTCATCCGGATCATCGGGGAGCTTTGCACTAGGAACTAAATGCCAAAAGGTCCGGTTGTTTGGCTTAGCAGTGCCAAATTTCAGCTTGAAGAATGTGAAATATCTCATAATCTTGAGTGACATTATTCAGATGTTTGTGGAAGGGAAAAGGGAGCAAAGGAGCTAGCAGAACAGCTCGAAATTGTTCTTATACATGAGCAAAGAAGGCCTAGGACTGCTACTGGAGAGGGGGATTGTTAATCCTACAGACTAAGGGTACATAGAATACATGAATTTTATACATTAGTGCAGACAAGAGTGTTGCATACCATAGACCTGTGCAGTGAACTGTGTAAAGGCCTTCCAAACAATTATCAGAAAGTAAAAGTTCTGTTAGAAATTATTTGGATAAAGATATGTTTCTTTCTTTAAGATGTTCAAATGTTTACAGAAGGGAAGTTTTCTCCCCACACACCAAGGAAGGCAGAGATAGTACCTCCATTAATAACCACCCCTTTCTCATTGATGGAGTAGTGCTCACTTTACTGCATGGTCCCCTCAAGGATGTTTGGGACTGGGTGGTTTGGAGCAGACTGATGATACACTCTAGGAGTCCTTAACACAATGCAGCTCCCTAGATGAGATTCAAGAGAAGTGTGCCTGCATTTGAAATTACATGTTCATTGTAGAAGAGGCCTCCTAGATGTTCTGAACTGTTGCAATTTCCAACCCACTCTCTAGCATTTTGAAATTACAATGGAGTTGGAGCAAGCAGGGGAGGGAAAGATCTTTTTATCTGGATGTGAAAGCAAGAGATCTGTACCTTTTGTGGGAAGGGTCTGCTCTGATCCAACTCAAAAGAGGAATACATAAACATAACTCACTGTCAGCATGAAGATTTGCATGATGTGCAACAAACTTCAGGGGAGAAATTGAAGATACTGAATGCAGACAGTTTAACAGGAGAACACCTAACATTTAGTGTACACACCTTCTCTTGGTGCTGCTTGCCTATAGTGGCTTCAAGAGGGAAGTAACTATATGCCAGCTAGGGTATTGACCTTGGATTTCTATCCAAACACCTTTTAAAATCAAGAAAACACAACCCAAGGAAACAATCCAAGATTTTTTCCATAGACACCAGCAGGAACGATTGTCAAAAGGTGGGTGGGATTATGAATTTTATGAATTCTATCTAGACACATCTGTGCAAAAATATATTAAAAAATGCATCGGTTTCTGCTTTAAATATTTTTTGTCAAATTTAGACAAGGTCTAGGTTAAGCCTGTATTCAGCTCCTCCTTTATTAAGATTAGTCTAACTCCTTAACAGCTATCTCCCCTCTCCCAAGCTGTACTTTCAAAAAACTTCCTTAATGCACTTATAGTCATTTTGAACAGCCAGGAATGCCAGCACATCCATGTCACATGGCAATTTGCTGAACTGATTATGTTTATGAAGAACCATCCAAAATAAATAATCAAAAAGGGCAAGAGGGGTAGCCCAGAGGTATATGTGGCAACAGAGAAGGTGAGATGCTAAACCAGCATTGTCATGCAAGAAAACATTGGTAAAAAAACCCCTCAGGTTTACTCTGATCTCCTTTTCTCCTTGCACCATTCAGCATTATCAGAGGCTGGGTGGAAAACTGCATTTCGCTATTTCCTACAGCAAATCAGCTGATGAAGAGCCTTCACAGTAACTGCCAAGACAGATCATACTCAATGCCTTGAAGGAGCTGATAGATGAGCTGGACTCATCTATCTTGAAGTATTCCCAGTCCTCTTTTAATGTTTCACACAGCTGTAAAGTGTCACAGAATCACAGAATGGGTAAGGTTGGGAAGGACCATAGTGGCTTGTCTGTTAAAAGCTCTCTGCTTAAGCAGGGTCATTCTAGAGCCCATTGCACAGGATGGAGTCCATTACACTAAACCTAACTCCTTATGCAATCATATAAACGTTTTATTCTTGACAATAGGCCATTTTCCATGCTAACTTTTTGAATCAGGGAGTCCAAATACCCTCCTTGACTGGCCAGCACTTCAGTAATTTAATTTCTCCAGACAAAAAAACAACAGAAGCATCTGATGTTCATATTCAATATGTCTACAGGCATCAGGCCAGGAAACCACAGATACCTGTGCTTCCATCTCTGAAACATGAGTATGTAATTTAGACATGTAAGCCTTTAACCAGCCCAGGGTCACCAGATTGCAAAGGTATACTGTAGACAGAGACTCCAGTGATCTAGCCATGCCCCCACATTTCACATTGTGAACTTTCATGAATGCTCTTCACATTTCACATGTGAAGAGCTTGTTTAGCCATATGTGTGCCTGAAATTTAAGACCTTTTTGATCTGGTAAATAATATTATTTAACTCAGTTACAGTGACTCTGTGCTTCCATTATTAGCCTCCATAAGCCACTAGCCTGCAGCTTCAAATATACTGTGAAAATAGCAGTAGGCTAGATGCTTTAAAATTCAACAATATACTGGGAAAATCTTACTGTTAAGCCAAGCTTAAATAAATCTCCTGAATTTCCTAGTGCAGTAATAACACCTTTGAGGATTATCCTTGTACTATATTGCAGCACCTGACTTGTAGAATAGCCCAGCTGCCTGAGAGATTGTGTTATGTAATAACTAGAGGTTTCAGTGGCATCTTACTACCTACAATCATTACCAACACTGAAAACTTGCATTGGGTAGCACTCAGTGCATGTCTCAGGAAGGAACTCCTGAGAGGAACGCCTCTCCCTTGCACTGGTATGGGCTTACAGACAGCCAAGAAACAGACCCCCCATCCATTAAAGCTCTCAAACCACATACTGAGGGATCAATTTCATGAGAAACCACAGAGTTTCATTGTAAACCCCAAAGCCAAATAAATAGATCCTATGTTCTCCATTCAGTAGAACTAGCAGGAAAACTTTCAAAGAACTCCTGCATTGCACATTGTAAGCTCCTCAAGACAGAGTTTTTAAGCCCTGATATGTCCATGGTTCAAGTGTTAAAGTTGCCCTCCTGATAGCCTACAGACCTTTCTCTTGTTAGGAGCAGCTTTCATCTAGACCATTCAATTGTTTAGCTAAGGCAATTGGAAGCAATGTCACCATCAGGTCATAAAAAAACCACAATCTCCATGTCTTACTATACATACCAAATCCCAGTTCACTACCTCAGAGCTCATCTGTCAGCTGATAAGCTGTCAATTCATGCATTTAAAAGAAAAAATATACCTGCCAGGTTTCACACCAAGGGTGGCAAATGGCTAGATATTCACAGTAAGATAGCTGCCTAGACAAAAAAAAGATCTCAGTAAGAATCATGCTTAACTGACCAAAAATACCATGCACAATAAATGGTGACTGAAAAATAGAATTTTTATATATATACGTGTATTTTGTGCCTCCTCCCTCAGCTACTGAATTACTGACCCTTTGAGCCCTAATGCAGTATTCATCTATCAGTCAACTGAAGGCAACAGCAGCTGCAGACAGCAGTCCCTCTGCAGCATTTACTAAAACAATTTGTAAGGTATCAGTGTGAGTTATTAGCAAAATACAAAAATGTTTTTAATATGAACCAACAGTTTCTGTATGTGAATGCAAGAAGCCTCTAGCACAAACACACTGCTGGATACAGAATGCCTGTGTCACTTCTCTTACTCGACCTAGATCCTGGAAAATGTTTTCCATTAGGAACAACAATAGTTGGAAAGAGACATTTGTTTTCAATCAGTAGGACCACTGAGTCATATTACATTCAAAATATTTGAAATAGCAGGAAAAAATACCAAAAATACTTAGAAAGAAAACAGAACAAACTATCAAAAGGTTAAATGATTTTATTTAAAACCTAACATTTTAACTGTTTCACTAATATGCTTTCTTGAAATCACTAATATTTTCTTGAAATCACCTGCATTACAGGAAGGTTAAAAGTAACAAGTCACATGTCAGCTAAAAACAGTATTTAATTGCTCCTTTAAATTCCACTGCCAAAACACAGATTCTAAAATCCCTGCTCACTTTTTGTCTAACCTCAGAAAAAAACAAGAATTTTCAATATTTACATGCTCTTATTATCTACTTAATATCTGAGGCAAGCCATGACCATAAGAACCTTGATCTCAGCAACAATGTGGAGTTGGAAAGACAATTAGGTATTTTCTGTCAATCACTGAAATTCTCTACTCGTTGTCCTCTTAACACATTATATCACAGCTCCTGTCATTTGGTTTTTTAGCTGATTACCCCCATATGAGCAAGGAGCCCTCCAGAAGCTTCCCCTGCAGCCTGAAGCGGACAGAGATGACGAGTGTTGTTGTTGTTGTTGTGTCCCACAGATCAGCGGAGCGCAGGCGTAGCTCCCTGGTGGTGAGTCTGCCGGGACTCGAGGTGTTCCCTGGAGACCTCCTGGTGTCAGACAGTGCCATGGACTACCTACCCTGCTCATCCTTCCTGCTCAGTGCAGGTCAGACACAGCGGGGGCTTTGCTCCTCTGAGCCCAGCAAAAGCTGGGACTGGAACATGAGGGATGGGAGGGAGGATGGATGCAATGAGGAGGTGACAGCCTTTGTGGGGGATCCCACACCAAAGTGACTGCAATGCCAATTCTGAAATTCCCCCTTCCCCCCTCACCCCGTATTTTACTGTTGAATGTAAAATGCAAGTAGAGGAGAGGGTAGGACACAGATCACATTGTTCCTCCACAGGCTAGGAGCAACCAGAAGCCAGGCCAAGATCTCCATCTGGAAGCAGATGAGGTACAATTTCCTACCTCCACAGCTTCAAGCAGAGACAAAAGTGGCCCATGCTGCCCTTTGCAGCAGTGTTCTGATCGCAAGGAAAGCAAACCCAATTCATGGCTAGAGGTTGCTCACAAGACATTCCAAAACTGAAATGCAGACCTGCAAGCAATTTCCACAAACAGCTACTGTAGAATATATATATAGTGTGTGGTGTGATTGGCAGAGATCCTGGTGGCCAGAGATCAAAACTTTCTCAAAAAGCAAGTCAGCCAAGGTCACAGCCAGCATTTTCATGACAGCAAATAAGCCAGCCATTCCCAGAATGGCCGAGACCTTCAAAATCCAGAAACACAAAGTTTTGACTGTGATTCCCTGTCACACACCTGAAAATGGGTGCCACATAAAGAAAACCTTTTCAGATTTCTTGCTGAACACAGTCATTCTTCACAAGTCACCAGTGCATTCCTAAATCTAGATCCCCAGCTTCCCCTGTGCCTCACCAAGGATACAAATTACAGTCTGCCTGACTGTGCCAGCCCCATGACAGATCTGAGGCTTAGAGCCTGTAGGATGGTTTATTCACTGGAGATTTAAATACCTGCATAACTCCAAGTTACCGTAGTGAGAAGGCATAGACTAATTCTTGCTTTAAAACACCTTTAAAAATTGGCTTGAGGTATGATTGCTTTCCCAGGTAAAGAGCTGTAATCATATAGTGATCACCTGCAACAAGTAGGAGGGGACCATCCAAGGTCCCACCACAAATAGTCATAATTCTTGCTGGGAGGAACCCAACGAGCTTAATGGGTTTTAAGTCTGGTGCCTACAAACTACTTAAACTCAAGTATTAAATATGAGCCAAGTAGGGTATAGTCTGTAAACTGCATATATAAATAATATAAATAACAGGTTTTTTTATCTGTTTCCTTACTGATAACATTTGTTTTACTCATTAGAGTCCAAAAAGTCAAAGTGGCCATTTGCCAAAAGAGGAGTTGTGAGTATTTTTATCATTTTATTTTTCCTTGCACTGATCTTGCTTTATTCCACAACTAACCTGGGTGAAAACAGGTTCTTGACTTTCTTGCCCTTGGAGAAAGGCAGCCAGCAGGTGAGCTGAACTCAGAGCTCTCAGCCCACCCTGGGACTGCTTGCACAATAATCTGCAATGAAGATTGGGTGGCTCCAGAGCTGCCGCTGCATGTGATGCACATGAAAACACAGCCTCTGCTCCCCATCCCTGTGGGTGGTGGGAGGAGAGGTGTCCTTGGCAGCAGGAGGACAGAGTGGGATGGGTTGTCATTCAGGGGTGGCAGCAGGCCCAGTGCATCTCCCTTGGTGAAGGCAGCACAAGGTCGACAAATCACTTGCATGGTTGCTTTGACCATTGTGTATCCTGTGTTCTCTGCATGCCTCAGGGCTTTGGAGAATGTGATGAACTCCCACTCACGTGGAAGGGATCTAAGCTTTACCTATAAAATAGCATTCCAGGACACTTTCTTAGACCTTTCCTGTCCTCATGGGTGCCCTCACACTCCACTGAAAGCACAACTCGGGGAATTTCCTTGTCTAATCCAACTCTTGTCTTTTCCATTGATGAAAACTTTCTCTTACTAAGGTATCTGAATTTCTTTTCTGTGTACTGTTCAGCATTCAAAAAACTATTTACAAGCATCTTGATAACTTTTTCTCCCTAAGCATGTAATTAAGAACAGTCCCTTCCCAGTATTTTTTGCATTTTATCAAATAGTTTGTGCATACAGAACCAATGCAAGTACTCAGGTTAATATGTACAAGAATTCCATCTTCATTTGATAGCAGTTTCATAGCATTTGAAGGAACATGATCTAAACCTGAGGATTTTTAAATTCAGCAAAATATTTTAAACCTGCAATAAAAAGCATTTGATATTTAGACAAAAGTGATTTTTAAGACTATTAAATGCCATAAAGTTTAATTCATGAAGATTCATTTGCTGGTACAGTGATTCAGTGTGCATATATATTAACTGCATTAATTTTTTCTGCTCCATTTCAATCTATCTTTCAAAATTAGGAGCTGAACTTAAACCCTAAGTTTCAAATATTTTAATCAAACACATATTTCAAAATTGGCTTGAGTTCAGTGCCCAAAGTTCAGGCAATAGAAATCCATGAAGTGGGAATATACTGTTCCAGAGAACAGATAAAACTTAGGCAAACACCTTATAACTCTGTGCCCACAGCACTAAATGAGAGTTCATAAATAATGTTTAAATTTTTTACAAGGCCTGAATAAACAAAGCTGAAACAAAAGCAATTGTTTTTATTTCATGGTCCCTCACACAAACTCCTGCTGCTCTTTTAGCTTTCTGAAAGCTCATTTTACACTGCACTACTCGGCAAATGATCAAGGAGCTTTTTCCATATGTAGCTCAAAAAATTTAAATAAATAAATAAACAAACACATAAATTTGTATACCTATGACAGGATTTCAACTATGAATCTGTTGTCCCCTATCTCTGACAGTGCTAAGGGAAGCAAAACATTTCATTTGTTCTGTCTTCCAAGGGCAGCTCATTGCCTGTTGCCATGCCAATGATTTCCCTGTCAAAGAATTGTGTATTATGTGAATAAGGTCTTACATGCCCAAACCTGATGCTTTTACATACCCCACCCACAGCTACAAAGAAACTTGCCGTCACTGCCTTGTCTCTGTGTAGAAGAGCCTGGAAAAATAAAGAAATCACTCATTTAAGGGCAAACTCCTTACGGATTAGGGCAAGGTTACAGAGCTGGGTACATTTCTTAACAGTCTTTAAAACACTGTATGAGTCAGGGTGGTTTTTTGTCATTCAACAGGGTAAAGACAAACAGAAGCAAGCATCTGATCTGGAAAATTGTCTTGCAACTCTTAAGATCATAGACTGCTGCACAGATGAATTCTTCTGCTTTAAGGTATCAAAATATTCATTATACTGTATCAAGGACACTTAAGGATGGAAGGATGGATTTTGTGTTCTTTATAAGCTAATATATCTCAGTTCATTAATCTGGATATGAGACCTTTCTGTTTTATTAATTCATAAGTATATGGTACATTTTTGTCATTTGAAATGGAGGGTCAGAGTAGGTTTGCAAGGGCCTTCAAAAACATGTGGATTTTGCCAGGATTCCGGGCTGCCCTAGACCAGGGAGGTACCACATTCAGAAAAAGGTATCAAGGCAACCCTCTCAGCAGCACCTACAGGTCTGGGAAAAGAAGCTACAGCATCAGAGAGAGGTCAAATGGGACACAGCCACCCCCATTACTGTGTTCAAAGGCAGTACATGGAGGTCAGTGCCAACAGCAAGGTATATATATATATATACACATCTGACTTTGGAACAAATCCATAATGTGATAGTAGCCACCATAGGACTAAACAAAACAATTTCCAAGTGACTATAAAGAGTGACTATAAAAACTTTGTCCTTTGGTACCTTGATTTTATCATCCAGAAAATAAGATACTGTCCACCCAAGAGCAGCACAACAGATCAAAATCCTTAGCATTTGCAAGCTGGCCACTAATTTTTGATACAACTTACCTAAACATAGACTATCCTGCTGTGTTACTTTCAAATTCTGTGTGTACATACTGTATTTTAGAGGAGAATGGCAGGTTTTAAAATATTTAAAGGAACTTTCAAGCCTTCAAAAGAAAAATCGCTAATACTGGTAGATGGTAGATTTTACACAGTAAATAGAACACAGATTCTTTTCATAAGGTCTGAGGAAGCTGATGCAACCAATGGCAGTTTTCTTTCTTCTTCAATCAATAGAGTAAATCTTGGCACGAATTTATGAATGAGCAACAAAGTGAGCAGAAAGATGCCAAGAGCCGGTTAGAAGTGAAAAAAGAAGCAGCAGTGTGGGAGCTTTTCACAAGTGAATGCACATACTTTCTGGATCATTTGCTGGTTCTCAAGATGGTAACGTCAGATTTCACTTCGCAAAAATAATGAAACGTTGTTTGTTCTGCTGTGATGGACACAAAGCCACCTGAAACTTCTCATTAGAGGTCCATGGAGGAATGAGCACCTGGCTTTTTCTCCCCCTTTGCCTGCTCATCCTGTTTCCATAGCTCCCTTTTCTGTCTCCATGCTGGTATCTCTTCTTCTGAACATCACTTTCCAGTGATGCAATCTAGTGCTTTGCCATTACCATCTAACTGCAGAGTTTTCCAGGATATTCAACTGATATTCCATTAGTCCTCTCACAAACACTGTACTGAAACCACACTCCAAATGTAATTTCTGTACTGGACTATCCCAATTGCTAATGTTGCTGGTGTGCAACACTATATTTGTCATTTAACTTCAGAGAGAGATGTGGTTAGATAATCCTGACTGGACCATGAAAACCTCAGAATTCAGCAAATCTGTAGTTTTAATGTTCCATGAAAACAAGTATATTTAAAACAACTCCTCACCCAAAAACTCTATATTACCTCAAATAAAGTGAATTTTAAGATCTTGAAATATGGACAGGAACATTAAACATGGTTAGAAGAATAGCTGCACTATTTATATTCACCATACATCAGAAGTTAATGTACCCCCTTAAAAGGATGGAAGCTTCCATATATATTGTCCTACCATTTTTCTCTTACTTGGCACAGACAATTTCTGATTTTTTATTAAGTCAAAGAAAAGAGATTTGTGAAACGCTTTCCATTTAGCTGAAAAGTTAGCCTGGACAATACAAGAGCTACTGCAAAATAAAGGAAATAAATAGAAGAGTAGGCTGAATTCCTCCTTGGTGGGACAAAACAGGAAGGCACAGAAAACAGGATAACAGGACCAGCTATTGGTTCAAGGTAGAAGAGCATTCTTCTTTCTCTACACTTTATTTATAAATCTGAAAAGTTTAAAAAGTGGAATACTGGGAAGAAAGCTGATAACAGCAGGCATGCAGACTCCTTGTGAGCCTGATGTAGGAACCCACAGACAAGCCTTAGCCAGCCCTGCATGGCCCACGAACGATGAACTGTTCAGTCCATGCCAGCTTCCCAAATTCTCCCACTACAGAATGAACCCATTGCATTTGGGTTACCAGTTTTAAAGGTACCTGGTTACTTCCAAGTATAGAAATATTCCACTGATTTTAATGAATCTCCACAGGGAGCTCTAAGACCACCATAAATCCACCACAAATTTAAGCTCTCAGGTAACCTGGTCATGGTAACTAAAGAATTACACAAGGCTAAGCAAACACTCTCACTAGCTATTCAGTCTTGGCACCTGGGTGATGGGTTTTTTTCATAACACTTTATACACACAGACAAAAAAAGCCTACTCAGTAACCTGTAAATTTTAAGCCCTTTTCAGATTTAGGTCAGATTCAGTACATCTCAATCAGCTTAAAAATATAAAATCTTAAACAGCCAATAAATACACACGCAGTTTTCACTCAATGCAGGTTAATAAAATAATCCAAAGAGATGAAAAACCTTCACAGAACCTCTACTTACCTTAATCCAAGAATATCTTTCTTTCCTCATAGTAACTCTAAACAATCTAGATAGAAGCAGATTCACGGGGTAGGAAGGAAAACATTTAGAAAGGTCACAGAAATGTGTAACTGTGATTCTGATGTTACTAAGTCCTTCACACAGGGATCTGCAGGGGGCTCATTTGCCCCTCTTCTGCCCAAGGGCACAGCAGGGACACAGCTGCCTCCATGGTAACCACAGAGAAACCCCAGAGACATCACTCATACCCTCTTATGCACAAAATCCAGTATTTAACCTTCAGGCAGATCAGGAAACTTCTCTCACAATGCCATCTTCTGCCCTCCCTAAACCAAATGATCCTTTCATAAGAATTTCAGTAAAAAAGGTTATTTTGGGGGGGAAAAAAAAATATTTATTGAATTGGCACAAACAGTAATTAACACAGATTTGTTTTGGTTTTAAAGATATTTATGAACACTCTAAAATACCTCCAGAGTAATGAATTTCTCTTGGACGTGGATTTGTGGAGACTTTTCGCAAACTTAGAGGAGTTAAACAAGGTAGGTAGAAAAAGAGAAGGTGTTTCTCAGATCAGAAATTAATCATTTCAATAAAAGAAGACAACAAACCAAAAGCTTGTATTCAGTTTCAATGCTTACATTTGGAACTTTGTTCATATAATTCATCTTTTCTTCTCTCTGTGGGATATCAGTGAGAGTCAAATATCATCAGCACAAATCATTCTCTTGTATCGCCAGCCAAAGATACATGACATTTTAAACATGGGAGAGAGCTCATTTGGCTGATCTTTCTGAAGAAAACTCAAGTTTGAGAGGAATTCTCATAAGCAGAAACCTTTTAAAAGGATTTGTGAGGAGAAACTACAATACAATCCTTGCAGCAAAACAGTAAGCATGGCAAAATAACTACATAACAAGTCCCTTTTTGCAAACAGATGGACACAAAGACTTTGCTGCCTGTTATGCCACTCCAAAAGAGCAAGCCCAAACAAAATGCTGACCCCCTCTCTCCAGCTGAGGTTTCCCTTGGCACAAATATAAGGATCTCTCCCACAGAGGCTGGATGTTCTGTGTTCATGTACTACTTACTCTGCATTGTCCAGAAGGAGGGAGGCCACAAGGCTTGGCTGTGATGTGCTCCAGCTCTTTGCTGCTTTTGGCCATTTGCTGGGAGACCATTTTCAGCTCCTGAAAGTTAAAAACCCCTAAGTCAAAAATAGCTTTCACATTGCTTTAGGAACAAAACAAAATTTCTTAGCTAGAGGGCCCTTTTACAGAACAAGTCACCCTTCATTGCAAAGTGAATTTTGGAAAGAACTCTGCAGCTGCCTTAATTGAATAACTACTCACAATCACATCACATGCCCTAAATTAGCTGTTGAGTTCCATTTATTTCCCTTACTGTAACTGCCTTGCCCTAACACTGAATTTCTCCCTTTTTAGCCAAAACAAGAAAATTGGGAAAGGCCTTCAAAGTAGGGACAATTAGCCAGAACTCAAACACAGGAGCAGGGCACTTCTGCTCAGTCACAGACCTCGCACCTGGTGAGCTGCTAAATGACCAACCAGTAGGTTTGGAGATACAAGGAAAAAGGTTTTTAGCTGATAGGTTTCATCTTTGGCTATTGTGGACTAAGACTGTAAATGCAGGCAACAACTGGAGTTCAGCAGGTGTGTGGTTCTTGATTCTCTTGTTCTTGTTCAAAGAAGGGAGTGGGATATATATATATATATAAGTGTGTGTGTGTGTGTTTTCACTTAGCTTTGAGCTTGGCTGGAGTGGAGCTTGGTCATGTCTTGAGAAAATTATCCTAAAAAAAATCTTGCTTTGCTTTCTATTTTTGTTGTCCTTATTGATGAGGATAATAAATTATAATCTGTTATGCATATTTTAAATACTGATTAAATGTAGGAAAAAATAATCTGCTCTTAATGCCTTTGGTGCCTTTTTTCAGACATTTTACAGTATGCATATCTTCTTGACAGCAGTCTGAATCCATGAAAAAATGCATGCTGTAACATTGTAAAGGTGAAAATTAAAGAATAAGCATCATCCTATAAGCATCCTTGCCCCCATAAATACACCAAACAAAGCAGTCTGCAATTACTGCAGTCTGTAGCAGTATCACAGGGGATTGATGTGCCCTTCTGGCCTAACATTTTGCCAACAACCTAGCCCAGTCATGAATTTTTGTGAAAACACAGTGTTCAGGATGAAAGTGAGGGCTTAAGAGCAGGCTTGCAGCCCTATCTGACTGAGTAGGTAGGCACTTTTGAATCCAATATAAACATGTTAACTTACGGGAAATATGTGAGGTTTTGTGGTATTTTATGGATACTTCCTTCACTTTCAATTGTATGAAATAAACTCAAACCATGAAAGATGATGTCTTCCTCAAATGACCATGAAGTCTTCCTTAACTGTCACAGCTCTGTCATATGCAGTGTTTTCCAGCAGATACCCATTGTCATTTCTAATGTGAAAATTTTTAATGTTTAATGTTAAAAACAGCTGCTACTCTAAGAAAAGTTTAAGGGACTAGCTAATCTTGTTCCAAAGCCTTTGTCATCAGGCATTATCACAACATTGTCACTTATGTTGCATATGGTATTTGTATATATTTGTCTTAGCTTCTGACTAATTAAAGCATTCTGGGCATAATTCTGAAGACAATTCTGGGAATGTTAGAGATAAGTATAGGCACCCATTACACTTAGAGCTTTTAGGGAGGTCAGGGATGGGAAATAAAGTTGCTTTAATCTTAACTTTGGATTACTGATGCTATTTTTTTTTCCCCTTACTTAGATAAGTCTCAGTTTTCTGAAAATGTTTTTTGAAACTGTGAAGAAGCATGTCAGCAAGTCAAACTCTCCCATGGATTTCAGCTCCATACTCAGAACGGTAACTTAATTAGCGGTATTCTTGCTTTTAAAAACAGGAAGCAGACCATTTATCATGGCACACAGGTGCTCCAGAGCAATCAGGTCAGTCAAATCCATGCCATCTGTCCAGGCAATTTGGTCTCAGCCTCAGGTTGCTCCTATCAGGAGGATGATTTTATTTTTATTCTTTGGCATGTTTGAAGCAGTCATGGAAAGGCGCTCTGTATGTAGAATCAAGTGTGGAAAGGTTTTCTCTTCCTGGGAAACAGCAGCCCAGACTCTGAGGAGACTTTCCTACTGGCAGAAGCAAGCTTCCCACTCTATGAAAGATGCTTCCCTGAGACCAGATCCCAGCCTGCCTCCTTCCACTCCTTCACACTGATCCTCCTTTACTCCAGACCCACAAGTGTTTATAATTGCTTAATTAAGAGCTCATTGGGACTGAAATTAGGCTTTGGCCTGTGTCTCTTAAGCAAGAGAGAGATGCAGCCACAGTTGTCCTACCACTGCCAAGCCCTGCCTCCTTTTTGGTCAGTCTGTGTGGTAAACAAGGCAGCTGTCTGAACAGCAGTCTACAGGAGCTCTAATTCCTGCTCAACTTCCCAGTGCTTGTAAAGTCAGAAATATTAATGAAGACAGAAAAGCAACTGATTGACCAGAGCCTTCCCTACCAGTAGAGGCCATTAGAAAACTTCTGGAAAATAGTAAAAGACTCTACCTCAGTCTTGAGATTTTTAACAGAGAAATTAAGGCTAGAGCTTGGTTTCTTGCCACTGTGACCACTGACTTCAGGTGTTCTTATTGATAATATTTGTGTAGACAGGTAAAATCCCAGACAAAGCTGCCTTTTATCATGCATGACATTCAACATCTCCACGTAAATGAGGCTACTCTGTTATATTAAGAGCACACTCAGAAATAAAATACAATGCTACGTGAAGTCATCAAAGCTGTTTCAGAAATAGTTTCATCTTCAACTTCCATATGAATTTCACATAATTTATTTCTAATGAGAACAAAGTCTAAGAATGTGTCACACCTCTGCAGAGCTGTTAAAACTCCTATGCATCACTGAAGTATTGTGGCATTTTTACTACAGTTTTCTTGCTATTTTAACTGCCCTTGACTTTTTTAATTTCCTCTTTCCCCATTTTCCTAGGTAAAGAGAAATCTCAGATAAAATGAACATTACAAACCCAAAACTCCTGTTTCTTCCTTTGTCATATTTTTCTTTCTTGATAAATTTACAAACCTTTTCTGCAGTTTTTCCAGGGTGACCTCTGCCAGACACACCAGATTTATTGCCTTAATTATACCTCTGCTGTCTTCTACTTGGAAAAACTGAGACAGAGAGAAGATTTTGGCATCTACCTGAAGGTAAAGTGATGGTTTTGTTGTTGTTATTGCTCTTCTTGTTGTTGCAGTCTTCAGCCTTCCTACCTTATGACAGGATTTTAACAGCAAATTAGGAATGTTCATGAGAAGCAAAACTGTGTAGATAGCATTTAACATGGATTTTTTGAACTGCAGAGCCTATCACTGACTGCAAGTCACCCTTCTGGGTGTATGTGTGAAAGTCCTTACTTGTAATTTAGAACAGATAAGAGGGGGAAAAGCTAGGCTGCATTTTTGCAGGCAGAAAATACAATCTACTAGACTCTTTCATATGTTTTCCACATAATCTCTTGCCTCAGAGAACTCCACCTTAACAAAGTGAAATGATTACAGGGAAAAAAAAAAAAAGACACAAAAATCAATTTCAAATGTTTTACTTCAGCATCAAAACAATCCCAGTAAGGGAGAATTTACCTCCCTCTAAGGCTGTAAAGAGCTATCAGTGGACTTTTTATCAAGTTGCAGCACTAGAGCAGGTTCTGTATTTGCTGACAGTGCACCTGCCTGAAGCACCAACTCCACCAGTGCAGTGTGGGGGATCTCAGCCAGGCAAGCTCTGCAGCTTGGGCCTTGGAGTTTCACATTGCTTGCTCCCTGACAAGGATTTCATACATTCACACCTAGGAAAAATGTTCCCTAGTAAGTAGCAGTGACACTAAAATATAAGGTGGCTTTCAAACCTAACTCAGGTTAACTTTCTCAGGTCTTCCTGAGGAAATTAAAACAGCAGATAAATAAGAGCCCTATTTGATATGATAGCATGGAATGGTAAGCAGCAATACAGAAGGTGAATCTGGAGGGACAATGCAATTCCCCCTGTAGAGAGCTGTCCTTGTCTTGGCTGGGATAGTGTTAATTTTGTTCCTAGTAGCTGGTATAGTGTTGTGGTTTGAATTTAAGATGAGCGTAATGTTGATAACCCACTGATGTTTACTTGTTGCTAAGCAGTTTGCATTAAATCGAGGACTTTTCTGTCTCTCACCTCCACCAGCGAGGACTCTGGTGGGCACAAGAAGTTGGGAGGGGACACAGCCAAAACAGGTGGCCCCAACGGGCCCAAGGGGTATTCCATACCATATGGAGTCATGCTCAGTATATAAACTAGAGGGAAGACTGGTTTGGCATTGACCAGTGGGTGGTGAGCATTGTGCACCACTTGTTTTGTATGTCCTGTTATGTTTTCCCCTTCTGTTTTTATTCTGCCTTTATCTCAAACTCCAAACTTTACTTTTTATTTCCCATTTCTCTTCCCCATCCCACAGGAAGGAGTGAAGGATGAACGAGTGGCTGTGTTGTTTAGATACTTGCTGGGTTAAACTATGACAAGATCCTTTATACTGCCCTTGTTTCACTGAGTGAGAAACTCATCTTTCATTAGTCCCTGTCTCATTACAGTCAGCTAATGATGCAGAAAACTGTTTGCTACCTCCTAGCCAGAAGGAAGCTGAAGCCTAAGGCAGATTTTCTTTGTCTTCAGCAGTGGTGTGAACAAAATGAACAGTGCAAGAGGTTGCATCTGCCAGAGCTGCTGGTTGCTCCTCTGCATCGACTGACACGGTATCCCCTCCTCCTCAACAACATCTGGAAGAGAAGCACTGATGAAACAGAGAAGAGTTTTATCCAGTCACTTAAAGAGAAGGTGGAAAAATCTATAAGTAAGTAACAAAGGTTAAAAATCAAGTATGCAGTTACAAATTAGAAAGTTACATGGCTTTTTTGTGCGTGTCTTTTGAAGTGTGAATTGGTCAAGTGTCTCCTGAGAAAAGTAACAAAGATGTGTGTGCCTTTCTACAGTCCTGACCCTCATTCTGTAGGGAATGATTTGGGCCACCTTGTGCTGTCAAAGCCTCTCAGAGAAATGTCACAGGACTCCCAAATAAGTGAGTCACTTGTATTTTCTCAGAATCATCTGCAGTGACAGGCAAACAATTATAATCAGATCTCAAATTGGAACATATCAAGAAAGATCTCAAACAAAGAAGTCTTTCAGTTGGATTTATGTCTAAGGAGGATTTTTTTTAGGGCTGATCCTTAATAGGATAGATTTGCACTCACAAGGGGAATATTATGTCCCTGACCTTTCATTAATGACAGAGTCCTACTATGTAAAGTTGTCTCAGTTACATATTTTCTCTAGCTATTGCAGAAAACAAATGGATGGTCTGAATATTATTTTTTCCCCTGCATTTTCTTTTAAATATTTGTATATTTAACATATATAAGGACAGCAGTTTTAGGTGTGGCCCCAAAAGACCACTGGATGTCTGGAGAGTATTACTGGCAGAATAAATAGGTCCTTCCAGAAATTAGACACTTCTGGATCAAGGAAACCAAAGATAGAAGGGTGACCCCTCTTTAGTCACAAACACCTGACAAAGATCTGCCTTCATTCTTTGATCAGTGAACCAGTAACACAAAGAACAGTTGTAGTCCAAGCACTCCCCTTCTGGTGGGGGAGGTATGTGTCTGAAACCATTATCTGCAATATCACTCCACCCAAAGACTTGAAATTTAAATTGCAGGTCCATTAAAGCTTTCCCCATAATGGCCTTGAATCAGCAAAGACACAGTCCCCATTTTTTCACATTTTGAAGGACCCCTACCTCAGTCACTTCTGGCAACACTTCCTCTGAAATTAATTCTCATTAATTTCAACAGTATTTTTATCAAGCTGTATATAATGAAAATTATTTTTCTCTCACTATACCAGACAGTTTAGAATGAAAGGACTTTTTTTGAAGACATTTTTAAGATTGCAGTTTAATTGAGTTTTATATGAATTCCTGTTCCCCAGACAGATTAGTAAACACAACCTTTTTATTTAGCAGTGAATTTAAGCATCTTTGAATGCATTAATTGAAATTCTGTCCCTGCTGATCTAAGTAGAGTTTATGCATTTTTTACAATGAGATCAAGATTTCATCTGGGGCCTCACATGTGAAGTACTTCATCTTTCACTGGAGAAAATCAGTATTCAGCATCTTCTAGAAACAGGACTGCTTTTGTCAGCCCTGGCAGTAACTGGTGTTTCACACATTTCAGGGGATCTGGAAGGTAAAGTCAAGTGGTTGGACAACTTTCAGAAGTTCAGGCAGCTGCAAGAGGTCATAATTTGGCCTCAGGTCTGGGATCGTGACAAAAGGTTCTTTGTCCCAGAGGTAAGCAGATTTTAAAGGGCGCTTTTTTTTCTTTTTCTTTTTTTTTCTTTTTTTTTTCTTTTCTAGAGGAGGTATTAGTTTCCTATCTGTCCTCATAGTGTGGTCTAAATTTGGCTGGTTGTCTGTATTCTAGTTAGTGGGGATGGCTCTGCTCTAAGAGGAGCAGCTGCAGCCTGGGCACTGCAGCTGAACATACACAGGGCCTTGGAAGGCAGCATGGGTTGCTTTCAGTCAGCTTCCAAGAGAGGGCAGTGATACACAGTCCAGGAGGACTCTACCATACTTGCTTTTAGGGGACAGAATGAAATGGAACAGATGTAAGTATTACCAGCATTTGACAAAGTAGAAATTATTTGCCTCTTTCACTTCTCAAGCTGAGCCAAAGAACTTTCCATTTACACTTAAATTACGTTACAAAACCTTACACAGCATACCTGGGTGTGCACATTTCTGCTGCAGTTACCCCGTTACCCAGACAGACTTTAAGCAGCACTATGGTAACATCATCAAGTGGGTCTCATCTCAAGGATTATGTCTGTTCACGGCTGCAAGCACTATTGAACTCAATTTGGAAAAGTAAAACCCAGATTAACATTTCAAAAGCATAAACACATTTAAGCAATAGCACTGCTGTAGAAACACAGGCATGCTCAGTTATCAGCTGTGTGATGTACTTAGCCTGAGGTAAGAACACACATATGCTCATCTTGTTTAGCTGCTGGTTGCCTTCCAGTTCATCATCCATTATGCATGATTTCCCTTTTTTTTTTCTCTCTTTTTGTGTCAAGTGTTTGAAGCAAAACTTAAGAGAAAACAGCAGTGAGAACATTTTGTCTTCAGCAAGCAGACTTCTCCTTCATGAAGGGAGGCTGATGCTAGCAGGTAATGTCCCTGAATCTCCTGGTGTCCAGAGATGGCTTAACAGAATTATACATTGTTATGGCAGGTCCATAATGAACCTCTGCAACAGCATTTGGGCAGGTGCAGGAAAGGAAAAGCAACTGTATAGTTTATCAGAGAGAGACTAAGATACAGCCAAGCTGCCAATAGGATGAGTAGTCTGTATGATTGTTTATTGTCCTTTTCCTTGGCAAGCAAGTAGCAGTTTTATCAGAATGAGGTAGCTGCTACAAGGTGCAAATTTAGTAGCCAGAATGACTGAGATGTAGGATTTAGAGCATTTGAGAACGCAGACTGGAGGATGAGTAGTCGTGAACTATATGGGAAACAAGGCTTCTTTGTTAAAAGCATTCTGTAAGGTGCAGTGATTCATAGATGTGCCTCATCTTAGAAGCAGCAATTCCTTCAAATAATCACACCATAAAACTGATTTTTTTTTTGGTTTTCCTTCTTAGAAAGCACAAGACTCCTTGACGTCTATCTCTTTTTATTTGATGATTTCCTACTGATTACCAAAATTAAACGTAACAAAAAGGTAATAATGTCTACAGATATATATGGTTGCAGTTGTTATATTTTTAGATTTTGGATGGATTTTGAATGTACTTTGGAAGATTGATCTAATGATAAAAATACAAGATGACTAATCATCATGAAGAACAGCTGATACTTCCTTATGCAACTAGCAAACCATAACACTGATTCAAAAGCCTGCTTCTAGGCTCAGTATGGTACAGCAACACTATTACAGGCAGAATTTACATTACTAGACCTTAATATCTTCCTGATGTTGTTCTGATGTGCTGGATTCATAAAGCTCAGAAAAGTTTCAGGAATGTAAGACTTTTTCTAATAGTCCCTGCAACCTGAATTTTTTTTTATCCCAGAGATACCAGAAAGAAGAAAAAAATTAAGTAAAAAAAAACCAAAAAAAAAACCCAAAAAAACAGTGAAAGGTTAAAATGATGGAAGATTGTCTATGCCGCTTGTTGAACTCTCTTTGTCTTGATTTCCCCAAGTTTAAAATCAGGATATGACTCCTTTTAAGAAAATGTTTCTTGATGAATGATGTTATAGAGTTCTATAGATGATAAGTATCTTTATTTAGACGCCAACAGAAAAACTGGATGACCTGAAATTCCTAAAGCTTCAGTGTAGGAGTGCATTTAGCTAATTAAGTTTATGAAACTGATGTAAACTGAGTCTAAATGAACCTGTGATAAATCTCCTAGGTTTGTTGTTTGTTTAAGAAGCAGGTGTTCTGCTTTAGAGAGAAAGGAGATAGAGAAAGCATGCAGTGACAGGTTTTAGACTAGCAGCACCATCCCTTAGCAATGCGTCTGGTGAAGGAAGCAGAAATTCAAGGGATCTGGTACTCTTAGGCAAATCTCTTTGAGGGTTGTCCCATGTACATGTGTTGATGAAACTTCTGTGAAGGGCTGCAACTTATCTGGAGCTCCAGGAATTCTGTCTTGTGCATAGGGGAGGGGAGATGAGGAAACTTACCCCCAAGGAATGGAGGTAAAAACCTGCTATTAAAATAAGGAGGAAAGGGGGGAAAATACTTTCGGAATGTCTATCTTCTGCTTGTGGCCTTGTACTGTGCTTCTTTTGTTGCTCTTTAATGTGAAGTGTGACCTTGCAGGAGAGCTCCAGGTACCAGCCAGTTTTTATAAGATTCCTCAGGAAAACAAGCTGTCTCTGTATCTTTCATAATAGAAAACACATTTAGAGCAAATTTAGAATTGTTTAGCGCCTATACTTCATGAGCAGATAGCAGACAACCTGCTAACCAACTTCTTTTTCTATTCCCAGAAATATGGAGGCTCAGACACCAGCTTAATCCCTGTCTGTCCTTCCCTCACTCCTGAGCTGCAGTCCTTCATAAGAGAGGGGGGATTTTGCACAGTCCTAGACCAGCCCATCCCACTAGACAGACTTGTACTGAAAAATGTTGAACCCATCCAAGTTACAGGTATGTGCCTGCATTGAATGCCTTCATAAACCCCATGTCAGTGCACTGTGTGTGCAGTAGCATAAGGAGAAGCTGCTGTTTGCCCACAAACCACCCCCAGATGCCTGGAGTGCAAACACTGGTGCCTCAGCACTGCCTGGCTTCACAGCTCTGCTCCTGTGAGGCATGAGCTGCTGCCTCAGACTTCACAGCCCCTGCTGCCAGCAGTGACTCACACACCAGTGACAGTCACATATTATCCATTCACCCCAAAGGAGGTATCAAGACTCCTACTACAAGCCAAGTATTCCCTCATCCTAACTGTCCTAATACATTCTATCAAAGCCTGGGCATCTTTCCCAAGAACATTTTCAGTTCCATACTAGTTGTGCATTTTTTCAGCTGCACCACAGCATTGTTCTCCTGGGTCTCCTCCCACCTACAATGCAGCCATGCTCAAGGAAGCTGGAGACGAGATTTACCTCCTGCTACAGCTCCTACTCACAGCCCCACCAGCTCTTGAGAGGATGGAATCACCCACCGTACAAGTGCTTCCTTGCTCTCAGACATCCAAACGCGTCACTGGGGAATACGCCTCCTATCCCTGCTGCTGTGCAGCTGGGTGTGGAGTGAAAGAGAACCACAGGGAATGAACAGCCTTACCCTGCCAAAACAAGGTTCCTGAAGCCACCAAATCAGGTTTTGGGTCAGGGAGCAGGCATGAAACATCAGGCCTTGCCTTGGTCTCAGCAGCAGACTCTCACACCTCACTTTAGTGGTGAATGGTGCCACGTGTAGTTGGTGTTCCCCAACACTAGTGACGTTCCCCAGGGCTCAGTATTGGTACTGGTCCTGTTTAACACCTTTAGAAAAGACCTGTATGAGGAGAGTGAGGCAACCCTTAGTTCATGGATGGCATTGATTTGGGTGGGAATGTTGATCCACCAGGAGGTAGGAAGGCTCTGCAGAGGGATCTAGACAGGCTGCATTGATGGACTGAGGCCAACTGCATGAGATTCAATAAGGTGAAGTGCTGTGTGCTGCACTTCAGTCACAACACCACCATGCAGCATTATGATCTTGGGGAAGAGCAGCTGGAAAGGACCTGGAGCTGCTGGTTGACAGCAAACTGAACATGAGCCAGCATGTGCTCTGGTGGCCATGCAGCCCAACAGCATCCTGGCCTGTATGAGCAATAATGTGGCCAGCAGGACTAGGGAAGAGATCTGCACTTGGCCATGGTCAGGCCACACCACAGACAGACACTGTGTCCAGCTGTGGGCCACTCACTACAAGAAGGACATTGAGAATGTAGTGTGTCCAGAGAAGACCAGTGAACCTAGGGAAGGGTCTCAAGAGTAATTTCTAAAAGGAGTGGCTGAGGAATCTGGGGGTGTTTACCCTGGAGAAAAGGAGTGACATCTTCACTCCCTAAAGTCACCTGAAATGAGGCTGTAGCCAGGTTGGGGGCAGCCTCTATTCCCAGGCAACCAGCAATGAGACAAAAGGAAATGGCCTTAAGCTGCACTAGGAGTTTAGGTTGGACACCCGGAATTTTTTCACAGAAAGGGTGGTTAAGGATTAGAACAGGCTGCCCAGGAAGGTGGTAGAGTCAGCACCCCTGAAAGTGTTCAAGAAATGAGTGGAGGTGGTGCTTAGTGCTGTGGTCTAGCTGACATGGTAGTTAGTGTGTTCAGTCAGAGGTTGGACTCAAAGACTATGGAGGTCTTTTCAAGCCTTAATGATTCAGTCTAACACTGCCAAGATAACAGGAGCCTCCTATATCAAAGAGAATGAAAAGAAATACAAATCTCTGGGCTCCAGGGTCATCCTAATCCTAAAGACCAAGAGGAAAACCTTAGGGAGCTACAGTGCTCTGTGAGAAAGCAACAGATATGGAAAATAAACCTAGAGTCTGTAAAATTTATAACTTTAAAATACATTCACACTATTTAGCATTCAGCATCAATGCTGAGGGGATATAAAGGTAGGCAATAAAAGGCAAATTACTAAAGACAAGATAAGAGGATGAACATAAAGAATGGTAATCTTTTTTTAAACATGTTCCAGGCACTGTCTTCCTGCCTTGTTAGACCCCCTACCAAACCAACAGAAACAGGGCAAATGTATCAGCCACCTCTTGGCTGCAGGGTGGTGGGGAGGGCAGCACCACATCCTGCGTAAGCCCAGGCTGAATGCAAGGCCAACAGCTCCTGGGCACTGGGAGAAGGCAGTGCAGACATCCTCCAGTTTGTGCCTAATAGATTGACCATAAAAACCATAATGGAAATGGAAATGATATTTTTGGATTTTTTTTTTTCCCCAAGCCAGCATTTCCCATTAGAGATTCCTAACCAGGGTCTTTCTAATCTTTATGGTCCAGCTGCAATCATCATAATAGAAAAATCTGTCTTCTGCATTCCAGCCTAGGCTCTGTCCACTGGGTATGACCTTTCCCTGAACCCTCATCCTTGTTGCTTCTCTCCCATATATTCTTACCAGCTTTATTACAGCTGTAGCCATGGCAGTCTCTGTTACTCACTTGTAGTCTTATAACACCCTGGAAGCCCCATGCTAATACAGGACCCCTTGGGGTGAGGTACAATAAAAACAGCGAGAAAAATTACCATAGGGAGATTGCAGTTCAGATTCCCACATTCTGTGTAAAACAACAAGCAAACATTCCAATGTCAACAGAAAATGTCCCTTTGCAGGAGAAAAAAAATATATTTAATATTGTCTGGAATGTGTGACCTTGGGGAATGTTGCCAATATATCTGCAGTCTCAAAGAGACTTTTATTACTGGTGGCACTAAAAGATTAGTAAGCATGTTCTCAGAAAGGTCATGTGATCCATCACATTAATCAAAAATGAAATCCTGGGTTTTGATCTAGCAAGTACTTTTGCATCTGATAGTTTGCTGAGGATTGACATCACTTTGAAAATAAACAAAGCTCAATGCAAGTACTTGAAAAAAAATATATGTTGCAATATCCTAGAAATACTCTTTTGGCAGCAGGCAGGAGGCTGATAATTATGTAGGATAATTCTTGTCCAAAGCTTTCTATGCATTAGTGAAAGGATAGAAGATAAAATGGTGTGTCCATAACAACAGGAAGGTGCCCTAAATGCAGAACTATCTGCAAACACCATGACCTTGTACAAGAGATGTAACTTTGCATGTAAATATAATAGTAGGAACCCAGCTCTGAAGGCTGCAAGCAGCAACATACTTTCTGATTAGAAAATCACTAACTTGAGCCCCACTTTTATTCCAGATGTGTGGCATTGGTTTTACTTTGTCCCCTTGCAGAGTAAAGCACGACATGATGCTCACCTTCAGGACAAAAGTTTGTAGGAAACAGAGGCAACATGCCTAGCTGCAGCAGCCAACCAGGGCATCCCCAGGAGCACAAGCTCAGGCACATGCCCAGGGAGAACCCAAAGGCAACACCAGCCTGAGTGCAGCCACTTCTCCATGTGCCAGCCATCATATGGACTTACTTAAATAAAATAAAAATGGGACCTCTCTTTTTAATCTTTGATACTTGTTTTTCTCTAACTTCACTTATGATTTAGGCCACTTTGAAGGGAAATATTTCTTAATGATCCTCAGGCAGACTCAAAAGCTTCTTAGCTGCACCATGATGAAGCAATTAAAAATAAAAAAAAAGGAAGTAGAATTAAAGTTTTGAAAAAAGAAATCTTCCTACACAACAAAATTAACTTACCCTATGAGGTGCAACTACCCTTTTAGAAATAGAAAAGATGCATACATATATCATTTCTTCTATCATAATCAATGTGATATAAAATTGGTCTGATGGTTGTATGAGGTGCATTTAGATCACTTTTTTACATTTTCCCACAGTCTCCAGCCTGAGAAATGCTTTTCTAATTCAGCATGAGAACAGGTATCAACAGTGCATAGCAGTCTTCTTGCTACAAGCTCAGACAGAAACTGCCAAGGTAGGTAACACATCTTTTTTTTTCTTCTCTAATTACACAACTATGCTTCCCCTGAAGGAGAGTGGCAGCCTAAAAGTGGTCATGCTGTGATAAGAATCTCTTACAGTTGTGACACTTGACCAAAACTAAATCAAAACAAAATAACACACCAGTGCTCTGGCTCAGATATTTGTTACAGAATTTTTGTTGCTGAACATGTTCCAGTTTTCTATCAGGGTTGATAGCAGGTCATATTCTTGTTGAAAAATATTATCAATTCTGATTGGTAAAAAAAAATAGATCCATTTCTTGAGTCACAGAAGATGGTCAGCCCCTCCAAAGAAGTCAACATCAAAACACCCCCCCCCAAACCCAACTCACATGCAATAGTACTCAGATCAGAAAATGTCTCATGCTCATCTATTCACAACATGTATTTCGCAATTTCAGACTGAACAGAAGGTATGATTAATTCCACTGTTATATAAATTTACCCCTCATTTTCACACCATGACACATTTCTAGTAACAGCATTGCATGTAACATCTGAAAGTGTGTCAGGCACTGTGCAGTATTTTGCTTTCTCATGTAAGCTGAATTCCCGTCTCTAATACCTAATGCACAGAAATGTGACCACCACTAATACAAATTCTTACAAGTAAATGGTGGCAGACTTTTTCTAAGAGAAACATTGAGTGGATTCTTTCCATTTTTAAGTCACTGGCTGCTACTTGGAATAGCTATCCACTCAGGTCATTACTTTCTCCTGTTACTGAAATATGACCTTCCCTTTCCAAAACTGCCTTCATACCACAGCTACCATTTTCTCAATGTCATAGAATCATAGAATAGTTTGGGTTGAAATGGCCCTTTAAAGGTTTTAGTCCAAAGGAAAAATCCTTTTAAGTTTAGTCCAGTGCCTAATCATAGCAATTCAGAGACAACTCAACTTCTGTGACCAGATTATCTGGACTAGCAGAGAGAAGGAAGTCATATATTTGAAATTCTCTCTCCATCACCCCTGTCCTCATACTTGGACGACAGAAAACATACACCTGAATGCTGTCAGCATGGTAATAGAAACTTAAATTCAGTTGGCAGCACATGGCAGATCTTGGAAGGGGACAGAACTTGTGATGCTGATAGGACTGGAGCTGTCTTAAAAAGAAAAATGAGGAGCCCAAACTGCAAGGACAGCATTAAGCTAATTCATAAACATTGCACAGAAAAGGGGTGAAATAGCCTGCAACAAACTACACCACTGCAAGCAGAGCATTAAAATCCTACCTTCCAACCAATAATGGAAATACTCACTGGAAATCCCTGGCCCCAGACAGAGATTCTAGTAGCATATAGTGGCCTGAATAACTGGGAGAGTCTCAGTTGTGGGATAATTCATGTTTTCTTCAGCAATTATGAGCACAAGCCTAAAGAGAGGCTAAATAAAACTAAAGGCTCTAGATATTTATGCATATAACTTACTGGAAATTTTTTAGATTGTCTTGGTTTACAAACATTTTTTCTTGTTACAGAAAGCATGGATGTCACAGATAGAAACAGCAATCTCCAATTACACCACACAACATCAAACCAAGAAAAGCACTGCTTTCTGCTTCCCTACTGAATCCTCTGAAATTTAATAATGTCAGCACTGCTCTGACAGAGCCAGTGGAAGACTATTGTGGTGATAATATGGCTATTTCTTTCAAAATGCCTTAGGTCTCTGAAGCTACCAGATTTCTGACTTGACAAAAATATGGCGCATAGACAACACCAAGTCAGAATAAATTGGAGGAGGGGAATGAAGCATGCAACAGATGTATCACTTTGTTTCACCTAGGGAAGGCTCTTGCCACTTGCCACAATTTAATAGAGACTGTCATTTGCTAGAAAGCATGACAGGGAAAAAAAACCCTGGGTTGGTAAGGACAACTCATTCACCAGAGAAGTTTAGAAGGGTTATTGCATCATTCAAACTGTATTAATAAATTCCATTAAATTAGAATTGTGTAGCCATAGCTCCTGATATTTATGTGTCTCTACCCACTACCCTATAATATCACGAGATGGTTTTTACATTAATACTAAGCCTGTGTGTGTATCTATTCATATGTATGCACTTACCTGTTCCAGTGCTCTTCAGATACAGCCTGGCCACTGTGATAGACAAATTCCTGCTCTTCCCCTACATCTATCATGGGCAAGTTTTTGTCACGGCTTTCTAGGAAAGGAACAGCCATCAGGCTCCATGCCAAGTGGTGAATGTGTGAAGCAGGAGGGCAGAACAGAGTGCAGACAGATCTGTACCAGAGCATCACACAAGCTGCCAATGCCTCACCAAAGCTTGGCTGACATAGCTGTGCTCCATCCCACCAACCCCATGCTCAGCTGTACACCACATCACACCGAGGGCTCACCAAAACCTCACAGCATCCTGAAACCAGTGCTGACAGGATAAAGATATTTCAAGCCCAGAGTCGTCACACCCGACAGACTAAAGTCTGTGCTTTGTGTGCTGGCAGAAAGGAGAGGGTATTTCACTTTGTATACTTTTTACCAAAACAATCTTTAGCCAGGTCTACTCACTTTACCAGACAAGCAATCATTCCTGGAGACCAGCATATCTCCAAGGAGGACAGCCCAGGGGAAGGAAGTATTCACACATGGGCTTCTCTTCATGGAGAGCTCAATAGGTTTTTCTGTGGTATGCAGAGAAAGACACCTCAGGAAGCAGTTGAGGCAGAAACAGACTTCCCAATTCAAACTGCCTTTCAGAGGAGACCTCTCCTCTCCATCTCTCTCCATATCTAAACAGAGCCCCTGCTTCAATAGCTAAACATGGGTTGTTTGGTTGTGCCTCCATAATTCAATAGTGGCTTTGTCACAGGACTGATTTCCCACATTAATCATCTGGCTTCTCTCTGCAACACAGTTCCACCCTGAAAGAGCTTTCCATTTCACATGTGAGACCTTTATTGGTCTATAATTAAACAAGTGCTACTTCTGAGTCTTCCAGTTATGCCAATTGTCCTGCTACATCAAATGTGATGTCAGAACACAGCCAGTGTGACAGAAGGACTTTCATCAAATGTGGGATACTTGGCAGCCTTGCTTGGAATGATAAGACTACTCTGAATTTAACCTGTGAAAAAAACAGATTTGAGAAACAGTCATTATTAGTGTGTCCTCAGAAATGTGAAAGCCTTTGTTGCAACTCCCTGCAGCTCTAAGAAACTGGAACATTTAGCTTGCTCTTTATGCTCTTTACATATATGGCTTCCCTACAGTTCATTTGTAAAACTACGTATCCATCATTTCAAAGTAGCTTTGTTGTCTGAAATGGGGCAAGGTTGTTTTGAATGATATAACCTGGTCTATTAGAAAGGTCTAATTTTTTTATTATTATTATTAATAATCATTCCTTTAACAGATTAGAAAACAAAAATGACATTTCAGAAACAATCCATCATAGTTTATACAGAACCCGCTGATGCATGGTGTCACCTTCCCATTCAAATCCATAGCCATCTTCCAGATCACAGAGTTTAAGAATTACAGTGCACACTGGACTAAACTCTTTTACAATGTAAGGCACAACTACATGATCACAAGTAGTAAACACAAACACTGAAAACAGAACTTAAGAGAATAAAACTTCAATTAAAAAGAAATTAAAACTAAAACAGACTCATGCAAAAGATCTATCTACACCTACCAAGATGGCAGGATCCAGTTTAGAAGTACAGTACTCTGTAAGTAAAACTGCAACATAAGTATTTTATAATACATTACTTCTAAATAACAAGTAAAAACTTATATTTTTTCCATTTATATTTTATACAATTATACAGAAATTAAGCTGTATGAACAATATTCACATCTGAAATAATAAACTGATCATTAAAAGTCAGAAAAGAGGCAAATGAGACCATGTAATTTGTGGCACGCATCCATTACAGAACACACCATTCATCAAGTTCATGTCTCAAGAAGAAGAAAAATAAACACAACCAAATGAATGGTACATTTGGTGACTGAGGCTATCTGTATCCAAACAACAAAGCTCCATACAAAATTCGTTTTACCCAGCAGACCATAGTTATGAAAGCTTGTGGTTATAATTTATTTCCTGTCCAGCAGCTAGAGTTTGCAAGGTTGAAACTACAGAAGTTAAAAGAATTTAAGAGAATTTGCAATAACTTGAAACTGTTAGATATTCTCAAATACACATTAAAAAAAAAAAAATAATTTTTTTCCTTTTTGGTGATAAACTTCTGCAATTTTGGCATTCACTATAACTTTTACATAAAATAACAGTGAGAAAATCTTATTAAACTTACCTAACGTTTGAATTTCACACTGAGAGGTAGCTTAAATTAAATCTTATGTAATGGCATCAAATGGGGGGTCAGGGGGTGTGACTTTTTTTTGTGACTTTTTTTTTCTTACAAAAGTGACTATTTCTATACAAGCAGCATTTTGGACATATTACTATAAAAAGTTCTGGTATTTGCTAACCCAGTGAGACGTTCTTTCAAACATCCCTTTTGTGTCAGGAATCAAGCTCCAGCATCATACAATGGAGGACTTTGCCATAAAGCCAACAGCAGTAGCCTGGACCTGCCAGCACTGACCTGTTGACATATAACAATGAACATCCTTTCCCAGCACTCTTTACCCCAAAAAAAGCAGGAAATACAGACAAATTTGGTTTTAGTGTTAAGTTTCAGTCACAGGGGGAGGGAAATTGGAAGATATGTCCTCCAGGTTCCTGCTTTCAGATAACATTGATCCAAAGGGGTAGTAGGGCTTCATCAATCTCTAAATGCACAGACACTTCTCTATCCTCTGCATAGTGACAGCACAGTATGTGGGGAGCTACAGACAATCAGCAGAGTTTATTACATTACCTAGTACCTACACTCTTCATTATTGTGAACTTAAGTGGTGTCTAATGTTCTCTCTAAACATGCAAACTTTTTTATTCAGTGTCCCTTTAAAAACAAACAGAAAAAATACCTCAAAAACCACATTTCTGTGGCAGGACTTATATGCAATTGTAGCTGGTTTTGAAAAACACATCAATTAGTGCTTTTGGAGAGGCTGTGTTTGGATAATAATTTTAAACTTATTCTAAAAGGAATGCTGAGGTCAAGACTTCAAAGAAATGGACAACTGGCAAGATCCTTGCAAATACATAAAATTCTTTCTTTTTCTCATTTTATAATCTTAAAAATAAAGTCTACAAAGACATGCGTGTGACTAACATGGTTTTTGTTACATGTGCTCTGAGATGATGATTGTGTTTTTGGTAAAAGGAACCACAAGTGCAATTCTCCTTAGGGCCAAATGTATACAGTGAAAAATCCAGCTGATTAAAAACCTGCTGTCCAATGGCTACAGCTAGCACATGCAATGCACATGATGCCATTCCACTTACTGTAGATTCTCTTAGACAGCAAAAAGTGCACAGTGCAAATGACAGTGTTTCCTAATTCTCTGAGAATATGAGAGCAGGAGGGGTGGTAACTGGAAGAGTAATTTATCAGTTTCAACATGTTCAAACCATGGTATCATTCTTCTTGGCATAGTTTAGATTCTATTTGAACTTCAGCTCCAGCATTTTTCTGTCCATCACTGAGTACTGGCCATACATTTTTTTAAGTTTTGCCACAAGCATTTGTTCCCACTCCATGGTTAACTGACACTTAACAATCCAGAAAAGCAGTTAAGTTTCCCAGGTCCCTTTATGAATGTCACTTCTCTTACATCTAGCATGAGAAGTCAATTGTTATGGCTCATGTGATACAAACACAGAGAGGTTACTTCATGCTTTGCTCCCAAATCCCTTCTTGCTTCACTAATAAGAAAGCTTTTCCAGTGAGGATTCACAAACAATCCTCATGTCCCAAAGCCAACAAAAGTAGTTACTCATTGTTCTTGTGTACCTTGTGCTCTACACTCCATGGCAACTTGGTTACTTGACACCTTCCGAAAACAGAGGCAAAAACCCACATTTCACCTTACAGCCTTGGACTCTTGTGCCAGAGAGTGAAGCCAGTTGAAAAATGAGATCCCTCTAAACCTCTTGCCTCTGTTGGAAGCTGCAGCAGAAAATTCCTTCTGTCTCTTCATCTCCAGACAGCAACTTTTCCTACTGTGACTCATTACTTTTATCCTCTTCATTCAACCTTTGCAGAAGGGGGAAGATTACATTAGGGAGTACATGGGGAGAAGAAATAAACAACAGTGAAGCAGAGCTATCTAAGATCAAAAGCCTGCCACTGACCTCTGCGATGCTACCTGTCTCCAGCGTGATGTACTGCTGACATGAGGCCAGAATGGAACAATAGGATTTGGCACTTGTGAGGCAAAAATACAAGGGACTGTGGGTCTTTGAAAGAGAGGTGTTGTCTCCAGGAAGTTAAAAGAACCTGTCCCCACCCTTTGTAAGATCATCCTTTACGCATTCACAAAAGCTTCTGTAGCTTGTCTCTGCCCATGAAGCAGCTGGTCTCTCACATTCTGCTCTCATAGCAGAATTCTGAACGTGGATGGAGTATCCTGCAGATGGGACAGTTTCAAGAACAAAGCCCACACTTCACTGTCCCACTTCTGATGCCACAGCAATGACTAGTAATCAAAGGCTGCTTGAGGATCCCACGGACTGGTCTGAGTGCTGGTTTTGCCACTATTTTCACCTCTTCCTCTATAATGGCCACTCCTCAGTGAATCAGAGCAATCTGCCTATTTCTCTAGGCTGTAAAAACACACCACTGTTCATCCTCCATTTCCAAGACTCAGTCTCTTCTGCCATTTTATTAATTTCCCCCTCTGTTCCTGTGTCTGCAGTCTGAAAAATCAGGGAATTAAACTGTTTTGCCTGGAATCCTTTACTGTGGTAAAAGTCACCAGGCTTTTTACTTGGTTTTCCTGTTACTTAGATTTTAAGACAGAGGAACAAAAATCCCACATTCCCACTGAAACTTGCCCATCAAAACACTTAAACTCTGCAAGCATATTTGTAAATACACAGCTTTTCACCTTCCAGTTTCCCTTATTATGGGATTTTTTCTTGAGCTTGAACACAGCTTCCAACCTGGCAGTGAAGCCAGGTATTATAGAGTCAGTATACCATCAATTCATCAACAAATACAGACCAGCACTAAGAATTACAAGTACAAAAGAAGGAGCACAAGACTCAGCAATGGAGTCATAAATTCACTCCAATGAAAAGCTGCAGAAATCATGACCTATTGCTGCAGAATCAAAGCTCAAGCATGAAAGTTTCCACCCCACCATTCCTCCAGATTTTAACAATCTGATTCTTTCTACAAATGTGTGTTCAAAAAGCATTTCTATCTCCTCAAAAAGCTGCGTATATAAACTGGCCAGCAAAAAGCAACTTTCAACAATCAAGCTGGTTTTGCCCCTGAAGCTGAAGAGCTCCACACCAAGGTGTGGTCTGCAGCCAACCAACTGCACTACTTTAGCAGCCTGCTAAAAAAAGGTGACTCTGCTTGTCTTTACACAGCAGCATCCCAAAAGGCTGAATTAAGAACAACCCTTCCAGAGCTTCTACCATGCAGAAGTCTCTCCTGAGCTTTCACATATTCCCAATCAAAAGGCCTAAACACAACTGAATCTTCTAACCACTTTCCTAGCTCCCCTGAAAGATCTCCATCTTCCTCTGCCTCGTGTTTTGATCTTAGGCAGCTGTGGGAAGTTTCTCCCCACACAAAATCCCTCCTGTTCTATGTGGTTTTCATTCACTCTAAGAACAGCACAAGGCTCTTGTGCATTACAGAAAAGGATGGAATGCATCTAGGCTGGAGCACGACTGTCACAGCTCTACTTTTCCCACATTTCTCAAGTCAGACATAGAAAGACTCTAAAGAAAATT